TCTTGCATTTATTACAGTACCTCCGTAGAGCCTGTGAAAGCTACTTTATCTACATCCATGTGGTGAGAAATTGCAGCTCCAGCAGTGGGTCCAAAGCCTGGCACGATATTTACAACTCCAGGTGGAAATCCTGCCTGAATTGGAAGAGACAGCCATGTAAATTTGGGGAAGAATGCCTCATTTAGTCTTTTCAGTTCTTCAGCCACTTTTTCACAGACATACAGTTATTCTCAGCCCTAGAGCCCCAAATATGTTGATTATCACATGATTGAAACCCTCTTTCCCTTTAACTGACTCTAAAAAAAAAAACAAAACCAAAATACAACATTTAATTTCAGTGGTTTTTCAGTGTCATTGACAAGGAATAAATTTGTTTGGTTTTTTTTAAATTTTCTCCCCCTGTCAGATGTGTAAAAAAAATTATTACCTAATTTTGTGTGTCCTTCATTAAAGCTATTTGAATCATCCTGTGTGGTTAATTAATTCAGCTCATTGTCCCTCACAATGATGGACTTTAATTAATGATCTGCTGACTTACATTGAAATTCTATTAAGAAAAATGATGTAAAATAGTACTGAAAACTCAGTGTCTTTGCTTCTTCCTCTGGACATAAAGTAGCAAGTGGGCAACATGAAAGTTTTTAGCACAAAAGAGGCAGATCAGCTACCAAATGTGAAAAAACTGGCTACCCGAGGGATGCACAGTTCCTGTATCTAGCAAATTTTCTATTTAAAGAGGCTTTTCCTCAGGGCCAAGTCAAACTTATTTTTTTCCTCACTAATCCTAAAATGTTCCATTCATAAGCAAAATAGGTTATTTTATTCCAAAAGCTTGCCAGGCAAACTTCTACAGATGTGTGAAATTGTGGCTGGATTTTCTGTTGGTTTATGAAACAGCTATGCGATCTTAACAGCACTTAAAAAGCAGAGCAAGAATAGAATTAAAAGAACAGAAAGATACACTTGTATTTTCACTTAAATTAGTCACTTCTAGGATTAAACAAGATTTTGGAATTACAATCAAAGATTCCATTTTCATTCGAAAAAAAATTATGAATTTCAACTGGTAAGTTACAGCTCCTAAACCTCATTCCTGCATTATGAACACCAGGCAATTACTTTTGTTCTAGCAGTTTCAGTGCCTTACAGGGTCATGCTCAACCTGTTCCAGCAATGCTTTTTATACTCATCTAACATTCAAGCTTAATATTTACCATGGAATTGATATGATAATGAAAGTCCTTAAATTTTCTTAGTATTGTATTTTGTACTTAATTTGTAGAGAAAAGTGAGAGTATTTTTAATGTGTCTAATTCACACTCTCTTTGGGCATATGATTTCCATGTTTGTATTAGAAACTACTCTCTAAATATTATCAAAGGAGCCTTGTGAAGGATGGTGAATACTGCGGTGAATGACCATGTATTATTTTTAATTTGGACCCTTAAGAAGTAGAAAGTTAAATTCAATCTTCAGATAGTTTCACAACAAGTCTAAAGCAGCTACTGAAGTAATCACTGAGGTTTTTATTATTTTTAGGGATTTGGGCTCCAACTTTATTTGGATGATTCTGAATGTAAAGTAAAGCTTGCTAGAGTTGTGTGAATAAATTTCAAAGGACTTAGTAAAATAAATATTTGTCTTTTTAAAAACACAAAAAATCTACCAGATAGTACACTAAATGTAACAATTAGATACTTAAGTTTCTCTTCCAGTTGAACATTGAATGGATGGGTGAAAAGTGAATAATCTTGCCTTTTTCCAAAAAGTGCTCTGCTATTATACCATTCTGTAATAATTGTAACTGTGTATACAAAGGAGGCCACTGATCACATTTCCACTTATGAGACTTCCTTCCAGGCAATAAGTATATTAAAACCTACATTTCTTTAGACTAGGAGCAGAATAGTGTTACTTTTCCTGTAAAGTTGTTTTTTTCAGAGAAATATGATTTCTGTTACCTATTGTTAAAAATTAATAGAAAAGGCATCTCTGATTTTTTTTAAAGTAATTCCTTCCTCCCAGTATTATCTAATACCATTTACTATATGATGCAATAACTTGGTTCCTTGGTTCCTTCCTGATAGTCATTTAGTTTCTGTGAAATATTAATGCATAACCAGTCAGTATGCTCTGCTGAATCATTGTTTTGAAGAAGAATCATAAAATGTGCCAAGTCATTTCTGTTAATGCTCTGCAAAGTTACTGAGTTGGTGATTATTGAACATGTTAGATTACAATTGTTGATTTTATTGGGAAGCAAGATAGCTAAACTGTTTAACTGGGGTTTTTTGGGTGTTTGCTGGGCTGGGCACAAAGATCAGTGTAACTTTGGATACTCTGGAGAAACTACCATACTTCTCGTGTTTATGAGCACAAAGTGTATTCTCCCAGTTTCTGTGTGAAGGGAGTTCACAAGTTTGGCAGCAGTCACCAGTTCAGTTTTACAGCTCCCAGTTAATAATAAACCCAGGTGGATGAAAGATTTTTTCAATTAAAAAAAAAATAAGAAAAATGTTAAACAATTAGCTGTAAAAAAAGGTCCTTTTCTGTGCTATGTTAATAAAGTAACTGCCACCCAACTCTAAGTACTCTGCTTTTGACTCCTTCTTTGTTTTTGGCTTTTAAAGATATTAAGATAATGTAATACAAACATATTTTTGTCAAGGAATGGAGTTCACTAAATTGCTACTGTGAGTGTTCTGTTTGTGTGGACTAAGTTGAAAGATATGCATGCTTTTGCCCTTGATTTGGTTCACTGATTTGCAGTAAGGTTAAGTTCCATAGTACAAGGCTAGACATGCAATGAGAAGTGCTTGCAGCGGGCAGCCTGGCTTATAACACTTCTGTGGCACTTCAGCTCCAGTATACTCTTACATTTCTGAGAAGTGCAAAAAACTCTATTGCTGCTGACTTACCTCTTTAATTAAGGAACCCATGTAAAGGGCAGTCAGTGGTGTTTGTTCTGCTGGTTTGACAACCACTGTGTTTCCACAACAAAGGGCAGGGGCAACCTTCCAGATGAACATAACCAATGGAAAGTTCCACTGAAAGACAGAAAAGAAGGTGTATCCTATTTCTAATACATCCAGAAAACGCCTCTGCTGTTTCTATGACAATAGAGCAAATTTTCAACTGGGTGGTTGAACTCTTTGTTTATTTTATCTCAGAGTGAAGATACTTTGAAGAAGTAACTGGCGAGCCATGTTATACAAAGACCTGTCTGTGATTTTGGTATATGTGTCCAGGGGATCCAAGTTTTTAGTTAAAAGCTCAAGAAGCAATAAGTGTACTCCTCTAACAAAGCCTTACAGAAAGTTTCTGGATTAGTGGTGAAATTGGGAGTTTTGCTATCTTAAATTATCATATCCGTCATCAGTTCTGTTTTCTAAAGGAGACAAGGCAGTAATATGTAAGGCTGCCCTTGCCCCCTTTCCTGGAGGTTTCACTGACCTCTACTGTGGCCAGTCCAGCCAGACTGTAGAGCAGCTAACTCCTTTGGACACCATGTTCAACAGTGCAAGGGACAATATGGCTGGAGAAAAAATGTAGCCCCTTCAAAATATATTTCTAATAGCACTGACTCCACGAGTCTCAGCACAAAAGACATAGTATGTCTTACCATTATGAAAGTGAGGAAAAAAGCAGTTAGCAGTCACCTATTATATCAGAAAGGCTTCTAGAAGTACTCATGCACTCATGTCTCCTTATTTCATGTTAATTTCATCCCACCTCCAAAAATAACAGGAGCACAAATAACACAAAGTAAGGGATAGCACTCCTCATCATGAAAGCAGAACTGTGTATGAGTGGAACAGAAATGGAAATGCTAAGCTAGCAAAAGTGTTTGTAGAATTCACTTAGTCTTCAAAGTTTTTGGTTTATATTAAAACCTCTAACTTGATATTTTCACATTTCAATTGAGAGAAAATAGATATACTCAGAAGTCTTGGAACATTTTATTAGGGAAATTAACATTTGTACTAACTGCTAATACTTCCAAGACGCAATTTTATTTGAAGTGACCACGTCTAATGTGTCTAGTTCTTTAGCATATCTTGACTCTGAGCGCTTTACTTGAAACGTTTTGTGCCTGATCTACAAGAGGATCTAAACCAGCAAATTCCAAACTCTCCTAGGGGCTGCATTCATGTTCCAGTGATGTTCTCTAAATCCGTCCAGTACTCTAAAGTGATAATGAATCTGCAAGCTCAATCACAAGACATCAGGAACATGTGTGGGATCCACATATCTAAGGAAACCTAATAGACAAGCTGACTCTTTCAGAATCTGGTAAACTGTCAAGCAGGTCAGGTCAGGCTGCCCACAGCTACCACATGCAAAGAGCTGCATGGATTAGGAGTGTCTACTGTTTAAATCATTTTCACCTTAACCCATTCAACACGTGTAGATCTCACAAATAAGTTTAAACATTGAGTTCCTTAGAGTTTTGGATGTTTAGACTCAGGCAAAACATTTGAATCTTCATTTAAAATCAGTGACTCCAGAACTGAATGTAGACACTCCTAAAAGGACCTTGGGAAGATATGGTTCAGTATCACTACGCTTATTGGACACACCGTTTGTGTTATTTGTCACAGTCAGTGAATCTTAGTCATAAATAAAGATCCAGCTTTCTGGATATTATGAAAAGCACAACACAAATTGCAGGTTCTAATAAGCTTATGGCTTTTAGACTGTAAATATTACAGTCTGAAAGCTGTAAATATTGCATCCTGGGCTGCACCAAGAGAATTGTGGCCAGCGGATCAAGAGAGGTGATTCTGCCCCTCTATTCTGATCTAGTGACACCCCACGTGGAGTACTGCATCCAGCTCTGGATTCCCCAACACAAGAAAGATGGACCTTTTTGGAGTGTGTCCAGAGGAAGGCCAAGAAAATGATCAGAGGGCTGGAGCACCTCTTTTATGAAGACAGGCTGAGGGAGTTGGGGTTGTGCAGCCTGAAGAAGAGAAGAATCTGGGGGTACATTCCAATACCTGAAAGGAGCCTATAAGAAGGGTGGGGAAGACCTGTTCACTAGGGTATGTAATGATAGGGCAAGAGGTAATGGTTTTAAGCTAGGAAAGAGTAGATTTAGGTTGGACATTAGGAAAAAGTTCTTTAATATGAGGGTGGTGAATCACTGGAATGGGTTTCCTGGAGAGGTGGTGAAGGCCCCATCCCTGGAGCCATTCAAGGCCAGGCTTGATGGGGCTCTGAGTAATCTGTTCTACTTAGAGGTGTTCCTGTTTATTATAGGGGGTTTGGACTAGAGGACCTTTAGAGGTCCCTTCCAACACAATATATTCTATAATTCTTTGATTCTGTGATTCTATGATTCTATGATTCTTTGATTGATTCCATGATTCTATTATTCTATGAAATATTACCCTCTCCTACTTGTTTATTTCTAATTCTTTCAGTACCAACATAACACAATTCTGTCTTTTAAAATAATCCATCAACCAATCTTATGAGATTTGGCTTGTTTTCATATACAAGGAGAGGGACAAAGGTGGATCAGACTGACTTGTCAAAAACTCCATGTTGCAGAATTTGATAGGTATTCAGCATAGTTTCTTTCTTTCAGGACCTCAAAGTTTCTAATTGACAATGTTTCACAAATGTACTTTCACAGAAGAAAACATTTAAAACTATTTCCATTTGTAACACTAATATTTGTGGTTTACATAAATTACTCCAACTTACAGGAATAATTTGGCCACACACACCAATAGGTTCATGTCTTGTAAATGTAAAGAAGTTTCCATCTAAGGGAAAAAGAAATATATTAGACATTCAGAGAAAACATTTGTGACAAATAGCTAAATCAGAAATAAGATAAAGATGAATACCAAACTTAGCTGGATAAAATTTTCCTTATAAATTATATTTTCAAAATCTTAACTCTGCAAAACTCCAACCATAAAGTACATCTGGATTCAATATCTACTTTCCTCATAGCTCCAAGGTTTGATTCTGGGAGTCTGACCATCTTTCTGCAGTGATACGTGCCGTACACCAATCTGCATTCCTCATTTCTTTTATCACCTTATTTTTTTGAAAGTGTTCTTTTAAAAGCTACTCACAATCCTAGGTATGTATCAGACATTTTTTAATATTAGATCTTAGCTTAAATAAAATCCATTAAGTATAAAATTCTCTTTGATTCAAATAAACATATGTTCCATTAAGCCCAGTATAGATACCTATGTGATTCAAAAATTTGGAAACATTTATCACTCTAGTTTTCCTTAATTCTTTCTTTATTACCATTCTTTCCTTTGTGCTTCTGAGATAAGGCAGCTAGAAACAATATTTTTGTAGAACTACTTAATGAGAGAGAGAACAAAATGAATTTTAGGAAAATAAAGAAAAATTTCCTCATTCCTATCTGTTAGTACTCTTCCTAATACATTATCCAATAACCAAAGCAAATATTACTGTTTGTGGTAATCATAATGTTAATAAGCAAATTTCTGTTTTTCGTTACTGTACAATTGCATGAACCATATAATGCCATGCAAAAGTAATCTACCAGACTTCTTACATGTATATACAGGCTAAAATATTTTAGTCAATAAATACTGCTTATAAGTGGTGCATAAAACATTAAATAACTGTGAATAACTGCATTAAATATTTTAAACAATCACAATGTTAAAGTGTTTAGTAATAAACCGAAATAACCTACAGTAAGAACTATAAAAAATACTTGTTATTTGAGATAGTCTTTGGTTTGTATGAATTTCAGAAAAAGGCAGCAAACTGATCACTTTGGCTTCAGTTCCGTACTTCTGTTATCACAAAGGTACTCACCCATTGGAACAGTACGCCCATGGATTTTATCAGCCCAGCCTGCACAGTAGCGTAAGGTTTTGATACAGGCACCTAAATCCATTAGGTAGGCAGTGGAAAAGAGTTTCCCACCATCGATGGCTTCCATTGTCTGCAGACAACAGCAGTTATGACAAGGTTAATATCAAATATTGATAATGGTTCTCACACTTGCACTTTGTCATTTAGCTTCTGGTTGTTTAGTTCAGAGGTTTTCAGCTTTACTACAAACATTTACATTCATTGTAATCTGAAGGATACTTGGCAGTTGAAAAACCCACGTTACCAATTTTACAATGAGAAATTTTCCATATGCTTTATTCAGTTAGCTACGCAGATAGCATTATCATGGCACATTTGTAATGGTGAGATGTTCTGAAAAAAACCCCAAATATTTCTCTCATCTGAATCAGTTACAGTCTTCTGGTTTATATTGAATGTTCTACAAGTGTAGATGAAAGACGAGCTAGAAGACTGCACAAATAACTAACGCAAATAAAGTAAGTGGCCACCCTCATCCTGTTCACATTGATACCAAAGGTAGGCAATAACGTCCTGGAAATAACTGTCACATTAGGTTAGGATCCTGTACTTTTTAATTATTGAGGAGGACCTTTCTAGGGGCACAATAAATGCATGACTAACAGCTTACACAAGTGAGAAGACTTAAGGCATGGAATAAAAGGTTTTGAGTGTTTGTTGTGCAAAGGAAAGATTTGAGCCATCAAGAACTTTTAATTGAGAATAATTTACTATGAAAAACAAATATTTCTAGAGAAGAGACTCTCTTTGATTGGCTAACTACTAACTGAGTGAACTAGCTAGTCTTGTATGAAAGCAGGCCTGACTCTCCGTACCATGGATCTCCATGCCAGGCCAATACAAACCTTGAAAACAATAACCAGCAAATATTAATTCAACATATATAGCTGTTCAGTTAACCAATTCTGTTCTACTCACAGTGTTTTAACAGTCCCACAGAGACACAAGCACTGAATAGTCTTGTTTTCCAGTCAAATCTAAGGAGAGTAGCTTGGATTAATGCCATTTTAATACCCCTAATTTTTGGGACATCTAGTTAAAGACTATGTGCAGTTCTGAAATAGTGTCAACATCATCTTGACACTGTTAGATTTTTTTTTCTCAAGTTTTCCAGCACATAAACACTGCAGACCCTCAGCTTTGTGAACAATCCTGTTAGTATGATTAGTAGGAAACTCCCCAATTATAATGTCAAGATCTAGTGAGATCTTAGAAATATTCTTTTTTTTTTTTCTAAATATGTTACTTTGTTTGTCCATATGTATGCTCCTTAACATTTCAGGCTAAGTCTGAAGACTCATGCTGCAAATGCAATGTTTCACCACCCCTGCCCTGTAAAATCCACAGTTTTATTTGACATATTGCAGATCTCATACTCAAGAAGAGTACAGAACAAATGGAGAAGACAGCAATCCTTGATGACTTTGAGCAGCAAGGAACTGATTAAAAGAGATATGCCCTTGTCATTCTAGGCAGCATATCTGTCACTGAGTTGTTCTGTTTGAGTATGGAAGAAAAATCTTCTCTGGCCTCAAACTTGCAAGCTCTATAGCTTTGATCATCACAAGAGACTGAAACCTAAAAAACAAAATTCTTAGTGACTCTTTCAGTACCCTGCTTTGACTTATTCTTCCAGTAGCCTGCCTATAGGATTGATGAACCTCTGGAGCTTCAGGAGAGTAACCTTATCATTACATGAAACACTGAAATAAAATAACTTTGATCCTGGTCAGATGCACAAACACAGAAAAATACATTTTCAATGAACTTTGGAGGTATAATTTGACCTCTAGTGTTTACAAAGCTCTTTGTTATTGTATATTACTAGTTCTGCAGTTAAGGTAAGGTGTGAGGGGAGAAAATATCTCTTCAGTTTGATGAAGTCTGAAAAGGACTTTGTTCTAACACACCTTATCTAAAAAAAAAAAAAAAAAAGTCAATAATGTGAAGAAGATATAGGAAATAAAAACTAAGTCAGTATAAACAGAAATTTGGGAGGGGTCAAAAAGAAAAGCAGTATTTCATACTATAAATATGGCAAGTGGGAAAAAACCCCTAAGTTAATGTTTCATATTTCCTGTGGAAAAAAAGATTGTTTTCCCTTTCTCTTTGCATGTGTAATGCCTTAGGCTGTACAATAAAGAAGGAAATACCAGCTCATCCACCGTTCAACTGACAAGGGGCATACTTTTCCTATTAAAAATGTAACTCTTAAAATTTTGTCTCTCTCAACTGCAAAAAATCTAGCATTGCTGAGGACATGAGTTTTAGCTACCTAAGTCTTCTCCTGTCAAATAGACAAGATTCATTTAGAGAAATAACTTGATTGAAAAAAAGTGTTAATTTGGCAGTCGCAGAATTTGGAGCCCAAGGAAATAACCTCAGTTCCTTTAAATTTTCCTTTGTCTTTCAAAAACCTGCTTGGGACACTCTCTTCCTATAGTGCAGCCATAAAGATGATAGAATGGACAGTATATTTTTTTGCAGGTTTTACATATTTTGAAAGTTTAAAATTGTATGAGCTTATCAATCATGATGTTGTACCTCGTGCTAAACACTTCAAATGAAGACTAATCAGATTGAATTATGATCTTGAGTGTCAGATACTCCTCCTGGTCTCTTAATTTTTTGACATGGTTGGCAGAAGGCCAGGATTCATCCTCAGAATAGTGGCTTTTTTTTTTTTTTTTCTGCTTAAAAGTTAATACCAGAAGCTTCTTGAAATAGCAAAGAGATCATCTTAGTGGTAGCATCATTTGTGCAGTTTAAAACAAGAGCAGGAGGTGCTACACTTTATCTAACTGGTTGTGCATTTCTGCTTCAAATGTTCTTTGTCGCCTTAGTCCGCAATCAGTAGGGGGTGATGCTACAGTTTATGTGTCTGCTGTGGTAAAATGGCCAACACTCAGTATTTGGTAGACATGGGACCTAATTACTCACCTTCCATGTTCATCCTACTAATAAGTATTTCATTGTTCCTTTTGTTTCTCATTAAGGTTTTTCACTCATTGCCAGTTGCACGCTGAAGTTAATGAAGGACCAAAGTGATAACAAAATATATAGCCATGACATTCAAAAATTTATCTCATTTCTAACTTGTATCATCTGTAAGAGCTGAGCCAGGCTTTGAGTTTGGGCCTTGATTCAGGCCTTGGCTTAGGCAAGTGTTAAGCAAGTGGTCTGTTAGTGTGTCCTTATGAATCAGCAATTAAAATTGCATCCACTATAGGCACCTTGAGTATCATCTTAAAACTAATCACATACTCAAGTACTTTGTGGATTTGGACTGTTAGTAGGGCAGAGTGCCCAACTAGTAGTTTAATGAGGGCCATTTGCAACCCAGGTGAAAAACAAGTATTAACATGGTCTGATTTTCCAAGTATTTAGCATGTTACACTTGCTAACATCTTGCTTTAAAAATCAAGACATAGTCTTTTTTTCCCAGTCTTTTTGTTCATGTATCATACTCACAGCTAAAATCAGCCGATCTCTTTCAACTAAGTCAGCTAGTTTATTCAAGAGCCTTCCTCGCTCTGAAGCATCCATTGTACGCCAGGGTGACCCAAGCTCAAAAGCTTTTCTAGCTGCTTTAACAGCCTTGTCTACATCTGCCTGTGGAGAAAAGAGACTTTTATAATGAATAATTGACTCTGTCATCAATCTTATTGTCTGTTAAATGTGCAAGGTGTTTTGCAAGACAAATAAGAGACACCGACTCAAATATAATCAGAAATAATACAAGTAATTTTTTGGTTATTTTCTACAAAACATTTTTGCTGTCATTTCAGCAATGTGAAATTTTATGAGAAACACGTGAGTTCTCAGAGTTTCTAAAATAAAAATATATTAAGGAACTTTTGTTTTTAAAATTCAAATTTACAAACACTCTGCCTTCTAGTTTTGTAAGTGAGGATACATCCACCAATTTAACCTTTTGTACAAAAGATGCTCAAATCTGAAAGTTTAAATATTTAGATGCTCAAAATTATCCAAATGTGTCTGATGGTGTGATGAAGATCAGGAGGGAAAATTCTGTTCCTTAGCCTGTTTCAGAAAACAAACATAAATTCATTCTTAAGACAAATAAGTGAATTTGATTTTATAAGTTTTAAGGAACATTTTTATTTAAAATAATTTTAACCATTTACTAATTTACCAGGTTTTAAATGCTAAATCTAAATATTTTGAAAGCTAAGGATTACCCTGGCATTAAGCACACTAATTTGCTTGCCCATTAATATTTTTATAGCATAATTTTTATTTATCATTTGACTTTCACTATAGTTGGAAAATTTAGTGTCTTATATAAAACTCTTTCTGTGCAAGGGTGTTCGAGGATATAAAATATCTCTTTCTAAATCTCTTGAGAAAAAGCTTTTAGCTCTTGGAATTCTTCTATATTTCACAATTCTAGTAAAAGTTTTCCCAAGAAAACTGTTACAAACTATAGAGGTTTATTGTATCGTATTAAAAAAAAAATAAAATAAAAATTCTTTAAATTATTTTTTTTTTATTTTTTAGTCCTGGTTGGTAGAATATCCTCTGGGGAAACCACTGTTAATGTTAACTAAGTAAACAAAGTTTACTAAGTCAACATCAAATCAATTGTCCTGAATGTGAACCAGATCTTGAATCTTTAACTGATCTTTGTAGCCAACAAATAATTTTTAAAAGCCAGGACTTAAGTGAGAAAGTCATTTGGAAAGCCCAGCACAGATCTGCTAGGCATGAGGTCCACAAAACTTCCTGAAGTTCTTTACAGCACATCTGGATAAAGATAGGAAGTATTTCTGCAAATAGCAGAGTGATTACAAACATAATACTGACCAGTCACCTACATGAGATAGATGAAATCTATCAGATTAAAAATAATACATTTTCTTCAGAATTGGTCAGAATGTTGCCAGATTCCTCATCATTCATCTGTGACCCAGAAAACTGAATTAAAAGAATATTTAATTAACTTTTTTTTTTTTTTTCCTTCATCACTTTCTATCACAAATATTCTACAGCTTTGCAAATACCACTTGGGATGTATGCTTTTGCCTTTGCTGGAAAAGAACAAGGGGGAAAACATTAAGTGTACTTGTGTGAATTATGTAAATTAAAGCTCAATACAGTGCCATGTGTTCTTTCAACTACAAATGCAGAAATAATTAAAACCAGCAAAAAAAATTAGGTTAATATAGAGCTGTGAATGAAAAGTAAGAAAAAAGAAGATCGTGTTTCACTGTATGAAATTTAATTTGGGTACATTAATCTACACTATGAGTACAAAGACTGGTAGCTCCTTTCACAGCCAGTTTAGACTTTTTAGAAAACTACATTTGCTTTACATCCCACTGACTATTTGTTGAGCTGCTTTATTATTCCCAGGAGCCTTTAGGATTAGGGAATGTAGCTTGAAAGAGCCATCAAACTGAAAGGAGAACAGTTCCCACCCACATTTGTGTCTGTGCTTTGTAATCTCCCCTTACTTTTTAAAATACCACTGCAAGGCAGTGTACAACCCTTTGTCAACCCTATTGTACACACAAATTGAATTCCTAAAATCTCTTGGCTTATTATCTAAAGACTAGGCTCTAGAATATTAGGTTTACAATGACTGTGTAATTTACTAGATTTGTACATTTCACTTTGCAATTTAGCTAATAGCATTTGTCGTTGCACATTAGTTTGCAAACCTGTGTGTCAAATATGTAATGATTTGTTAGATTGCTTATAAGTATGAAAGCTAAAAAAAACCTGAATGATAAGTGAGCAGTTTCAGGTCATGAGTAATTTAATTTGAGAATGATCAAGTATCAGGCTAACCTGCTTTGCAATGTATCTTGGTTTTTTTAATACCGAATAGAGAAGAGATATAAGAAATAACATTTTACATCAAAAGCATGTATGGTTTTAGTGGAATAGGATTCAGAAATTAACAACACGCTTCTAAAACTCTTTAGCTGAGGACAAAATAGAGCCTGAAATAATCTCAGTGACCCTGAGCACTGTATACAGGTAACTGAGACTAAAGAAAACCAAGTACAAGGCATCAGAAGAACACATAACTAATTATATGAAACTATCGAGAGCCAAATTCAAGCAGACTTACTCATACATCTTTGTGTGGTCACTATTGCTCATGTGCAAGACAGGTAACACTTTGCAAAGATAACAAGAACAATCAGTTATTAACAAAAAAATTTAAAAAATATTCAGAACTTTCTTCATATGAGCAAAATTCTAAGAGTAAAGCAGTTTTTCAGTTTCTGTTGACTGACAACATTAAGGCTTGGTAAAAAATCTAAGAATTATGTTTGCAGAAGAAGGTACATGGGGTGAAGTAGGTACATGTTGCGTTTAAAGCTAGACTTAAGAGCAAGAAAAACCCTACCTTGTCACCTTCTTCAACCTCACAGATTTTCTCTTCATTTGCAGGGTTAAAGACTTCAAATTTTTTACCACTGATTGAATCATGCCACTCATTATTTATAAATATCTGCAGAGGAAAAAGTAGTGCAGCAATATTAGTAACATCTACATAGCTTTTGTCCGTTACCTGTTTTAATGTGTAAATCTACCTTTCACAGCTGAGAGCTGCCTGATTGATAGGTACCTGATTAAAAAATGGAGTACCTGTTTCTGCATTATTCTGAAGAGTTGAATAATCACATATGTACTTAACCAAGAATAGCTTTTTTAACATTAACAGCCTTTGGAGAGTAAAAGCCTCTCTCTCTAAATTCTATTATTTTATTTATTTATTTTGCATAATAAATAAGTACTGTTACAAAAGGGTCCTTCCTCCTTCAAACTGAAGTCTGTGATGTAAAAGCCCTAAATTACTTACCTGGGTTTCATACGCTTACAAGGTTAGTGAAGATAAAAGGCATTTCTGCTACATACTTGAAACAATCCTTGGATTTAATATACATAGTACATGTAGTATATTGGAGAACACTTTTATTTAGATTTGTTTTGATTCTTCTTCAGTGTCTCCTGACAAATCCCAACAAAAAAATAACTGATGGTATATTTTTCTGAAATTAAAGTCAAGACTTAAAAAGCCCCATCATAGTCAACTGAAGGAAAAAGAGAAAGAACCACTTAAGCAGAGTGAAAACCAAAAAAATGTATTTCTCTATTTTCTTGCTACAGGAAAAAAATAATTAGAGATTAAGAAGAGGTTCTAGGATCACCTTATACAGAAGACAGTCATACTGTCTACAGAACAATGACAGCCAAACCAATTACCTAAGGATCATGTCACCAAAGCATAAAGTCATACGAGAAAGGCAACTGGATTCACTCTTCAGAAGCAGGAACTGTAGCATGTGCGGAAGGCCAAAACCAGAGACATTTAAATTCCTGGTGTCCAAAGAGGATTTCAGGAGTGAGCAGCTCTGCATCTCTATTTTTTTTTGGTTGCTGAGTATTAGTCAGAGTGTTGATTAAATCTGTACATATTATTTTGCTTTGTTTTATGAAAAAAAACCCAAACAAACCAACATGTCATTGCAATTGCTCCTGAAAATCAATATTTTTCAACTGTGAAGGGAAAATACGGCACTGTAAATGTTGTCCTAAAAAGGTAAATGTTGTCTTTTAAAGGATGCACTTTATACCATTATTAAATTAACTGTAATATTTCTGAATTTTCTCTTCTTTCACATTAAGGATACAAATTTATTTGATTCAGCAATTGCTAAGTGGCAGAGAATGAAGCAATCTACTGAGAATATACTCTGCTTCAGCCATAATTACTAAGATGTTTTATGACATTACACAGCTGTGAAAATTTAGAGGACAAACAGCGTGAGGGCTAAGGATCTCTGGATAAAATTTTTGTTACTTGTCTCTATTCACAAGTGCAAAATATAACATAGACGAAATAGCATCTGCACTTCTGCACTGCCCTAAAGCCTGCTTATCTCTGAAGGATTGCTAGTAAAATTGTCAGTGAGTTAAACTTTTATTTCTTACTCTTCAGGCTAGCCTTGAAACAGAAGGGAAACCCTCATTGCAAAGATACGACATGTAAACAGATGTTAAAAAGAACCTGCCATCTTGGTACCAAGTGCTTTGTAGATTGTTCTTTAAAGTGGATGTGATAATGTATATACAGTCCAACATTAACAGTATCTGTCACCCCCTTTAAAACTCTCTTTGTGATCTCTGGGTTCTGGTCAGTGCTGAAACAGAGTGTCCACCCCAGGCTGCCTAAGCCCACCTTTGAGGTTCTGGTGGGACTGGTGACCTCACTTCTCTTGAATTGCACATCTTGATCATGCTCATCATCAAGACCATGGCAAGCTCTGAATGACAGTACCAGGTATTTTGTGCTGAAACTGAGCCTATCTATCTTCAGGGTCATGGTATCTTGCTTCACCTTTAGTCACTGGACCTTAGCTGTAAGACCAGCTGGCAGAAAAATGTGATTCCTGTTTTCTCACCATTAGGTTAAAGGACTGACTGTTGCTGCTCAATGTAGCAGGAACATACTGGATAAAAAGATAATATAAAGCAAGGTAATACTTCGTGATAGGCAAGTCACTGTAAAGGATAGGTAACTCAGGGCAGAAAGAAGTGAAGACACCAAAAATGGAGGATAAATTCTTTCAGTCACACAGATTTGGGATTTAAACCATACCACCATAATCATGTGTTATGAAAATGCTACAGTCTCCAGGGAAAAGATTTTTTGCATTGTATTGAAGTTGCTTGCATTGACTGTTTGTGTGGATGTTAATAGTTGATAAGTAGTTTGGTAATAACTATCCAGTCCAATAATAGTGTTATTCATAAATGGATATGGTAACAATTTGCTACTAATATATTCCAGTATTTCAGACACCCTATACAGAGTGTCATTGCTGTCTCTAGACATCTGGCCTGATTAGCAAACTCATGATTTAGCAAAAGCTGTCAGAGAATAAATGTTTAAGTTCCTGGAAATTCCAGATATGTGATGAAGGCAGTTATAGGAGTATGAACGCTAAGGTGTCACTGTTATGAAAGAGCAAGACAGCAGTTAAATGGTTAATATGAAAAAGCCATCTTTAGTAACTGGCTAAATTGCCAAGAAGAGACAAAGTAAAAGGTAAATATTAACATAACACTGCTATGATGTTACATTATGCCAAATTCATATCTGTCTGTGAAAGCCATAATAGCAAAACATACCATTTTTGGAAGTTTTAAATGTATGTGTTTAAAACTATGCTTATTGCACCAACCAATATCACCCCTAATATTAGTTTAGAATATCTTTCTTATTAATGTTTCTAATACCATTCCCATTTAAAACATAAGTTCATTATATTAAATATATACAAATCATTGTATCGGTGCTGTAAAAACCAAACTATGCAGATGTCTTCTATGAGCTTGATAGCAGTCTTGCATATGCAGGTAGGAAAGACAAGAAAGAGAAGTAAAAAGGCAAAACTCTTCTTATAAGCGGTGTTACATATATTGCAGGTAGTTACACTCGTAGAAGTGCATGCAGCCATGGTCATTTAGTGCTGTGGAGCATATGCTGCAAACAAACAGGATGGGGAGCTCCGAATCCGGGGAATGTTGAAATACCAGCCAACAGCAGCTTGTGACAACTCCCCTGTTTTGCTGGAAAAAGCACATTTGGGATCATCTTGCAATAAGTTATGGTGTTTTTTCTGTCAGGCAGAACTCTATTAGCAGCTTAGATATTTTTTTTCTGCTGTTTTTTTTCAGTAATAAATGCAAAAGATCTACCATTCTGTGGCACATGCTGTGCAGGGGGTTGTCTGTGATGACTGCCTATCCATGAGGACGAGGGCTGCAAGTTGATTTTGCAAGTATTTAGAAGTGGTCTTACAGGCATTTTGTAACTGCTATATCATTCGTATTTTTAAGAGAGAAGACCACAGAATCACAGAATTGTCATGGTTGTAAAGAACCTCTGAGATCACAGAGTCCAACCACCAACAGAAAAAAACCCAACCCAACCAAACAAACACAAACTAGAGCATGCCCTGAAGTGCCACATCTACACATTTCTTGAACACCTCCAAGGATGTTGACTCAACCACCTCCCTGGGCAGTCTGTTCCAGTGTCTGACCACTCTTTCAGTATAGAAACTCTTCCTAATATCCAATCTGAACCTCCCCTGCCATAACATCAGGCCATTTCCTCTGGTCCTGTCATTCTTTACTTGGGAGAAGGGCCAACACCTACCTCCCTGCAACCTCGTTTCAAGTAGTTGTAGTGAGCAATGAGGTCTCCCCTCAGCCTCCTCTTCTCCAAACTAAACAACCCCGGTTCCCCCAGCTGCTCCTTGCACAACTTGTTCTCTAGGCCCTTCACCAGCATAGCAGCTCTTCTCTGGATACACTCCAACACCTCAATGCTCTTGTAGTAAGCAGCCCAGAACTGAACACAGTACTCAAGGTGCTGCCTCACCAGTGCCCAGTAAAAGGGCACAATCACTTCCCTCCTCCTGCTGGCCACACTATTCCTGATGCAGGCCAGGATGCTGCCAGACTTCTTGGCCACCTGGGCACACTATTGAGTCATGTTCAACTGGCTGCCAACCAGCAGCCCCAGGTCTTTTTCAGCTGGGCAGTTTTCCAGCCACTCTTCCCCACACTTGTAGCATTTTATTTCAACAACTCAAAGAACCATTGACTTTCAGACTTCTTTGCACTGGAAACGCACATTTCTTCTAAGTGACACTGTACACTACTACTTAGTATTTGAAAGCCCAGGTAACAGTCTATTGCGGTCAAAAGCCCTGTGGCTGGCTTTTTTTACCAGTGTTGAAGTGCAATAAAATCTTGATTCTCTGGAATGATTCATTAGAGTTCAGATAATCTGATACCATTCACCATTTGGAGTTGAATTTACCTGCAAGATTACAGCTATTTCTGTCATTATTTAAACAGTTGATTTGGTCACCCAAATGACCTGAGCAGAGAATGGGGAGACAAGATCTGCTCTTAGCATTTTTTTGTCATCCCAGTGTATTTTTTCCCTTCAGTCCTTGAGTATTTAAGAAGGACTCTCAGTTCATTTTAGAAAGTATCTTCTGGGTGGAAAGTGCCATATTTGTGTCTGTACTGAATGAGGAAATAAAGTGTTTGACTCTCTACAGCTTTGTCTCAGAAGTGCCATGCCATAGCTCTGATAAAATAGAGTTTAGGGCCTCTATACCAGGTGTCATCACCTTATAAATTATAACTCCTTGCTGCATCTTCTTTAAAACAAGGATTCTCTTTTTGTGAGTTCTGTAATATCATGCAAAGTCTGTGCAAGATTCCAGGCCACAGTGGTACAGTAGAACTGACTTAAAGTGTCATTTAGAGAAGAAAATACTTAGTTCCTGATGTTGTAAAGGTCCTATACATGATCTCGAATTCAGCATCTATCCATAAACTTATTACTTTCAAGGGAAATATTTTTAAGTAATTCACTATAATTGTTATAAACTATATCCCATATTACAGAGGTGTTATTAAGGCAAGTAATAGAACTATCTAAAATGTGGACTGTCCTACACTTAGCTATTAATAATAGCTTTATAAATATGTGTCCTGCTTTGAGCCAGGATGAAGCAAATTTTCCTTTTACTGATTTTTTTTTTCCTTCAATAAGCTTTCTTATAACTAGTAGCAGAGTGTTCCAGCTAGGAGTGATAACAAATGGTGGAATGTTTTTCTAACTACTGGGTCTTCAACGTCTCACCTTTACTCTGCCAGCTCAGACACTATGGGGAGTTATATGATCCCCCCATAGGAGGCTGAATTAGACAGACAGCAAAACTGGCCAGAGATATTCCATTCCATGTATCTATGTAAGCTCAGAGGAAGGTCAGAGATCACAGAAGACAATTTCCTTCCTGCTTCTCCTTCCCTTCCCTTCTCTTCCATCCATGGTTGGTGCCTAGGGAGGACTCCGTCCATCCATCACCATCGACCCCCAGGCTCAAGCTCTCCTGACCCTCATCACTCTGTGCTTTCTCAAGCAGCTGCAGGATTTCTTGAGACTGTTCCAGCTCAGGAGAGGCTGTGGGAGTTACTGGGGGTGGGGGGGGGTGAGAGGCTTTTGCACATACTTTAATTAAACACTAATGATATAAGAAAATATATACAATTATATACAAATATGTTCAATTAAAGCTGTGTAGTTTAGTTTTCAATCCAGTAAAGTCTCTCTCTCATTCTCTCTCTCCTTCCCTGCCTGGGTGGGAGGGGATCAAAGAAATTGTTGTCAAACCTGAGTCAAACGGTATCAATATGGAATGAAATGTCTACACTATCTTCTCGTTAGATACCAGAAACTTCCAGACTTACAGTACAAGAAAAACCATGATGTCTTCCCACCATAAATCTGCCCCCACATATCCTACAACTCTTGCTATAATAAAGGTTTTCTTGACAATAGCTGCATGTTTCACAGAACTGAAAGCAATCACTGAATTTCAATACTTGCTCAGCTGACTGCTCATAAGATTTCTAATGCAGACAGTAAACCAGGGAATAACACCAGCAATGTGAGTTTCTCTGGTTAAAGAACCAACTGAGGGCTTAGTGTATGTGAAAACATCATGACAGAAATAATTTGTCAAACAATCATTGTATAATTCCTCAGTGTTGACTAAGTAAAATATTTACCAGTACATTTTTAGCCAGCTACCAAGGCTCATTCAGCTCACTGGAATAACTTTAAAGGATATGAAATAAATCCAAGATCACTTTGTGGTTTAACATCCAAGCTAATTTAAATGTTTAAAATTATTGAAATTCAAATTCCCTGAAGAGTGCTTAGTTTTACTGTATATGTGAAAGGCATAATCTGAAAAGTAACTATAACAACCTACAGATCCATAGACATATGGAGATATTTAGTGAAATGATCTATGTAAAAGACCCCAAATGATCCCTCTCATAGAAAATAAAATGGAGAGGGTGTTAAGAAGAAAGTCAGTGGAACATGTACTGCAGACCTTCACATCCCTGTGTGAGGACTGCTGATATGCCATGGAAGAAAAAGAGAAAGTTGAATTTTCGGAACAGAGGGATTTCCTGATATCTAAGATGTTTCAGACAGAAAGGTAATACGTTAACAGTAATTAATGCTTCCCTCACCTTGATCCGTCCAATGTAACTAGTAAAAACAATCCCACATCCCACATTCTAAATTGTGTGGGACAGGAAAGGAGAAGGATGGGCAGGCTTTAGTGCATTGTGGGATGACATTTCTATTATCCTGTCCTTCAGTACACATCTGTGGCTTTCAGAGAATCCTGCGTAATATTTGAAGAAAAAAGGAGAGCATTGCAAAAATAACCTTCCACAAGGGTGTGTTGGTTTTGATCACTGGTAGGTACACAGTTTTGTGAACAAGTGCATTGCACTTCTGCACAGTTTCACATTATAGGCAGTTGTTAAGGAAATTATATCTATTGTCAAGGCAAAATAAATATGCATTTGCTGTGTGATCATCTCCGTCATTGTGCACAACTGTCATTTCAGCCATGCTGTCTTTTTTGTGATTGCTTTTTGTATTAATGGAATAGACTACTGACAACTAAGTATTTTAGAAGGATATAAATGTTTATAGGAATTTATGTCTTGAATATTCAGTTACATAATATTTCCGACCTGGTATTTTGCCCATATCTGTTGTTTTGCTTTGGAAAAAAAGAGAAATCAAACACATAGCAACGTAGCCTCTGGAACACCACCATGATTTATCTTTTTTCTTTTTTTTTTTTTTTTTCTTTATACAGAGAAAGCTAAAAGAGCTTTCATAGCCTGTTAAATATTTACAAAGTAAGGTCCTGTGTGATTTATTCAAGAAAGAAATGCATTAAAATCTGGCTGGGCTTTTTTTTTTCAAGAAAAAAAATAAGACAGAAGGAAATTTAAAAGGACTAATCTAGATAATCACTTAACACCTCACCTTTGGAAAAGAAGAAGTGACTTTAGAAAGTGAAATTAATTTCCATTGCAATGCTACTGAGAAGAAAAATGAACAGTAACAGGAGGAATTTGCAAAGAGAAGAGGTCCTTTCTGAATAGTTGTTGTACCTCAAAATTTCAGAGGGCAGAGTTTCAATATTTTCTGCCAACAGTTTGTTCAAAGTTCCTGCAGATATCTGCGTACTATGATATAAAACAGGCAAAAGGGCTTTTCAACTTGGGAAAACAAGTCTGGATTAAGACATTGTTTATCTGTGTATTTATAACTGCATATGGAAAGAATTTGGTATTACAAAAAGTTGAAGTTAATATTGAGCAATTAGTGATGTCAGACTTTATCTCTTTCATTGATAGTTACTTGTTTAAGCTGAGAAACAGATTCATTATCTCTAAGAAAAATATGTAAGTGGAATGAATTTTATTTTAGTTTCATTTTCACACATCACTTTTAACATAAGCTTATTTAGTATAGTTATTCAAATGATTGTAATATGATGTAATGCTTTAACGCTTTAATTTGTTCTTGCTGTTCTGAAAAGTAACAACACATTTTTTTTCTTCTTTACTCCATTTAAACTTCCTGATAAATTCACTTCAGAAAGATTTTTTCCAGGAGAAAAACAACACCCACCAGAATTGAAATAAGAAATTATTCTATCACACTTGCACACTTCCTGAAACACTTAGGTTAAAAGGATCACTGAACATTAATTACCAATATGCATTCTATCAGAAGCAGGTCAGAATAAATATTTTAAACACTGATCTACAGTTTCTTCTATGGTTCATGTAAGATTAAAATAAGTACCCAGTACTGTCTGAGCTGAATACATGAGAAAAAATCAAGAAACACAAACACTACTAACCTTGGTGTACTTAATTTTCAGATCTTTGAGTGGTTCTGGCAGAGCTGGCAGAACTGGAGCAGGGTTGCTGTCTGAACCTTGCTTCTTCATATTTTCAGTTGAGGAGTTAGAGGATGTTCCTGAAACACAGGTGAAATTAGGTATAAGGGAAGTGCAGTGATTTTTGTTCTGGCTGAGCTCTTAGCTTTATTTGTGCTTTTTTTATCTGTACCAGCTATAGCATATTTGCATACAGGAATATGATTGGATGAAAGAATTCATTGCAAAGAGAAATGACACTACATATTTTTAAGACCGAGAGCAACAGCCTTTTCACTGAGTTGAGACCTTGATGAAGCAAATGCTACTGAGACAACCTGCTTAGCCAAGGGCAGGTGGGATGGGACTTAAAGCACCCTGATCTAGTTGGAGGTGTCCCTGACCGTGGCATGGGGGTGGGAGCTACATTATTTTTATGGTCCCTTCTAACCCAAATCATTCTATGATTCTATGACTTTCTTAAGGGTGAACACAGTCTGAGGCCTCCACACCTTACCTGTAAAATTGCTTTCTCTCAGCAGGCAGGTCCTCAGATTTTAAATGAAGTTCTTTATGTACTTGAAGGCAGCTCTAAATGTGAAGACAGACTTGTTAGCTCTGGAAACAAACTAAGCCCTTCCCACTGGGGAGTTGCAAGAGTAATTCTCTGAGCTGGAAAGCATGTACTAAAACCAAGCACACTTTAATATAGTCAAAGCACATTATAATTCCTGTAATTAACACCTGCTTTGTAGAGGAACGAATATGGTGATACAAAATCCTTCGTATTAATCAACAAATGTGAAAATAGGACAAAATTGTTACATCCAGAAAAAACATACTCTGTGGGTAGCACCAAGGAAAATCTTGGTTTTGGGAGTTTGGTGGTATGTACCACAACTATAAGAACAACATTTGTACTACTGTGTCCTTTGGAAAATCTGAGTTTGTGCCTTTCAAACAAATACTTTGACCAAACTTCTCTAGCTGGAATGGAACCCACTAGTGCATAAATGTCCAGTTCTAATCATTCAATGAGAAACATATCTCTGATAAAGGCAAATTCTTCATTAAGACATTCCTTTTCTTATGAGTGGTATAACAGAACAAACAGGGACTGAAATAACATTTGTTTTTATATGCTAAGCTTCTGATACGGCATAATGGACTTTACCATAGAAATAAAGAAAAATGATATTGTTGCTTTCACTGAGACTACATAGATGCTTGAAAAACTTACTGAGTTGTGTTAATGAATCAGGCATCACCTAAAGCATCTGGCAATGGAGACTTTGTTGCTTTTAACTCATGGATGACATAGGACATATCATGAGACTAATCTTACAATGCATTAGTTATACAGAACATACCTTCTGAATTAAAGAGCCTGCTTGTGGGGAATGGTCCATCTTCTCTCCCCCCACAGCTCACGACAATGCTATAATTGCAATTGATTTTTTTCATGTTTGAACAAACTGTTGGAACAATATTTTCTGGCCTTAGGAAATTCCAACTAATTTATGAATAAGAAAGAATTATTTTCGTGCAATAGTCATCTCTCAGGGAGATGTAAAGAGCTGTGTGGACTTGAACAACTTTCAGCCGTTTAGCTTGTCATGTGAAGGGAGGATGCCCATTTCCTTTGCTACAACACTATATCCAAAGTCACCAGCTCAGTTACTTCCTTTTGCAACATTGTTAGAAAAAGACTTCAGCAGAAAATTTTAGTTTCTTAGTTTGCAATGTGTTTTCCCATTACAGTTTAATGATAGCCAAATCCCCCTTTCAGCACCTCAGTGACAGCACAAGCAGATAACTTACATTTTATGTTATAATGTTTACCTGCCTTATAGAATGTCTTTGAGTTCTATGAAAAAAACAATGTCTAAATAGGGTTTATCCACTTTTATTTGGAATACAGCTTTTCAATGCTATCTTCACATGGCAATTTTTTGTGGTTTTATATATTTTAAAATGTATAATTTCCATGTAATTTTCTGGTTTAGACCTAAAGTCTACTATAATAATCTTCAAGCCACTCATTTCTCCAATAACTGACAGTTTATCTTTAGTTAACTCCCTTGCTAACTGTTCAGATTTGCTTAACTTAAAAAGGATTTAAGTGGAGCTGTAAGACCTTTAGAGATCAGGGGAACTATCTGGCTTCAAGCAAAACATAAAGCTTTGTCTCAAGCAGAAGTGTTCTAAATAAATTTTAATATTTAGGTACCACTGCATGTCTGATTTTCCTGACTGACAATCTATTTATTTTTATTTTTTTTAATTTATTTTTATTGTTGAACTAGAGTAAATGACTTCTTTGGAAAATGACAACATTTATCCTCTTCCTATGTCTGTAAACAGCCTGAAAACTTCTTAGAAAGGCTGTTCAGATACTACCTTGAGTGATAATTTTCAACTTTTCCAAACATGCTGCTAATCATAGAATTATTTTCTACACCATTCATTCATTTAATGCATTCTTTGCCCTCTTTTTTCCTGTTTCCTTCTTTCAGTCTTGGATTGCATGAATCACCTTCACTAACATGCTTTCTGTGAGTCCTTTCTTTTCTCTTTAAACCCTGCACATTGTTAAAAGGGTCTCATCTCTTTATAAGGTTACTTGCTATCTTGAGTAATTTTCTTGTCCTATCATCAGGCCTTATCTGCTGAGACTTGCTCCAAGCATTACCATTAGTTTCAATAATTCCTTTAACTTCTCTGTATTGTCATATCTACAAATGCCTGAGCTCCCCCCCTTTTTCTAGGAAGTTCTAACTCATGCTTAGAGTATTGTTCATGACTAATCAGTCATCTCTCATCATATACTTTCCTACCTGCTTTCATTGCAGATTCCTTTTAGCCTAGTGTAGAAATTATTTGTTTTTCCTCAAATTCTATATTTCTGTTTATTACAGCTTCCTGCTATTTTCATCCTGTGACATTTTCTCCCCATCCTGCATCACTACTGTTACACATTTCACCTGAATAAAGATGTAGACTTGTATCTCTATAGCTTTAGCGGACTATATTGTTCTTTCAGACAATTAATTATACAACTCTTAGATATTACAAATACTGTACATGGACGTTTACATAGGGGTTTTTTGTTATAATTTTATTGGAAAATGTTAAATTGTATCCAGTTGGTTTTTGTGTGTGTGTGTGTTTGGTTTTTGTGGTGGTTTTTTTCATGTGTTTTAGTTGATTATTTGATTGGATTTGTTGCTTTTTTTTCACTGCTAAGGAATGAGCTTTAGACACTCTACAAATTGGAGAACTACATTATTTATTTATTATACATGACTATATGATAATGTTTTCTACACTTTAATGCATAACTTTTCTCCCATTTTAACCTATTGAGTACCCTTTTCAATACAGGATCAAAGAGAAACTAACAAACGGTAGTGGCTCATCAGCCAAGTGGTGATTAAGCTAAGAGATGCCTTGCTACATAACATTGGTGGTGCTAAACCACAGGACAAAGGACTGCATGAACTTCAGGTCTGACATGTCATTCTATGCCAGTAAGTTAAATTAAAGTTTTGTACTGGAGGGAGGTGTAAATCATTTGTCCATGTGTTTCTTCATGAAGAAAAAAAAAAACAAAACCAAAATTAATAACTAACCAAACATAGCGTTCCAGAGTTCAAGAAGTAACCTTTCTCCTCAGATGTGATCACACAGCAAGATATTGCCAACACTGTAGGAGCAGTTACTTTTTAGTTGGGTTCACTGTAATCTAGGTACATAAAGCATATATTATTGAGGTTTGTTTCAGCTCCATATTATATGAGATACGATTTAATAGCCAGCAGGACAAAGATGAAAGTAGAGCTGGCTCTCCAACTAATGAAATCAGTGTGTCACAATAATCATTCAGAGGTAACCTGTGGCTGGATTCACTGCCCTAAACATAATACTAGTATTAGTACTATCTGACACAGTCTGAAGCTAGTTCCCTAGCTTCCCTGAGATGTCAGTCCAGGACAGCCCTGTAGATCCTATGTCACCTTGCCAAAGTCATATCAGTGTCCTTAAAACCCTTGTGCAGCTTAAATGGCATTCCATGCATATGTTGAAGGAAATTATTCGACCAGAAGGTTAACAATTCCATTTGGTATTTTCATGTTAGTGTATGCTGGGCTAATGTATGAAAACTATGTATGTGTTATAGAAGTTCCTCTCCAGCATTTAATAGAGAAATATTTATGTCACATTGTAGGAGAAAATTATTCTGAGAATAGAATTATCTCTTGTACAGAAATTACTTTGACTTTTCTAAAGGTCAGAAACTGTTGATTTGTTTTTTTTTTCCCCAGGAGCAGGCACAAGTTGTTATTTTTTCTTTGAATGACTGCCAAACTATCTTCCCAGTTCCCACAGTCTGGGTGTCTCCATTTGCCAGCAATAGGGGACAGGTGACTTACTCTTTGTATAATGCTGAGATTGTAATCAGCAGTAAGACATTTAGGTCCATGGGTCTCATCAAAAAGTAGACTTTACCCTTCAAAATACATGTATTTGATCATTAAAGAAATCTAGTTATTCTACTAGACATGGTCAAAGCTACACAAATCAGATAAGACTGCATATGTTTAGCTCTAACCACCCCTAATGTAGGAAAATGCAACAATTTTATTGCAGGTAAATAGACAGTAGATGTTGTCTGCTTTTGGTTTTTGCTATTTACAGCTCTGGGAATGTTCTAAATAGCATATCATTGGCACTTGATGATCTATCAAAATGACACCTTGAACATAAACATTATGTCTTCTAAAAAGTGGCAGAGCAACTTAGGTAACCTCCAAAAAGTTAAAATTGCTACACAAAGATGAGTAAACTCCCATAGCAACTTAGGGCACTGTTGTGAAAAGTTCCCTGGAATAGGAGATGAACTGGATAGGCTGCTGCACTCTGTGTTTTGGTAGCTGTATTGTATCATCTGTGCTGAACTAGACATAGTTTTTAATGCTTAAGTATGTTTACACTTTGTAAAACCTTATTAAAGAAAACACTTCAAAAATGTCTATTGAGACAACAGAGTTGTTACTGAAAATCCTGATTAGTTGAGCCACATGTTCCAAACTCAGATTATACAGGGAGTTAAGAAAGGTAATTAATCAGTGATTCATACATATCCACTACTGGTATGGACAGAAACTGGCATTAAGTTGGGAGTGGAAGACATAAGTGTCAAAAGCACCAAACTAAGTTTAAAAAGCAGAAATCACAGAGATTCATGAAACTACTGGACTCTCATTCTGAAATGTTTTACTTTGTTAATCTTTCTTATGACATCCCATTAATGGCAGTTGAGCAAAAATAGTGAGCACTAGTTAGCATGGTGTAGAAAGGAAAACACATCAGAAACCAGAATAACTGGAGCAAAATCCAAATGGAGACTCCAAAGGTAGGTAGGACATGCAAGCTCTAATAACTCCAATTGTGTAGCACTGAAGTACAAAATTATAAGATTTTCAAGGCAGCTGAGCAAATTCCTTTGGCTCTAACAGCACATTCTGTATCTGGCATTTCTGAAAATCCAAGCATTCCTTTTGTATGAATACAGATATCTCTGAGCAC